TAGTGTCGCACCTAGCTTGTTTTTATTAAGTTCTAACATTAAGAAATAATATAAAGATTAAATTATTTGTTTAAAATTAATTAAGTAAATAAATACTCAACAGAACTACTGCATAGACATCGATATTAGTTCGTATAATTTGTTTATATAATGTCAATATTGTTATAATTACGGTTGTACATTTATGAGAATTTTTGAACATAATTATTTAATGACTTGACTACTTTTAACTTCTTATCAGAAACAAAAGCAGACGTTATCTGAAACATATGTTGTCAATTAGAAATTTGATAAAGATTTCGCCAATCTCTATATAGTATGCAATTAAATTCCAAAAGAAATTTGTGTCGCGAAGTTGTTGCAAAAGTTTCAAAACTTTTACAAAACAACCACATTTTTCAGAACTCATTTTTATAATAACAGTATCATTATAAAAAGGAAAACAATATTTTTTCGCCAATTCCAGCTTAAGTTTTAAAACAATGAGATTACCATCAACTTGCATTAAAGCATTTTGACCATGTCGAGTATTCTTGTAATCAGACAAAATGTTTCTATTTTTACTAATATGTATTTCCAATTTCGTTCTATATCTAACTAAAACGACTACAAAATTTGATACACACTTAAATAACAGCTGGCGTCTGTACCAACATAATTTCTATATCTAATAATAACTTACCAGGACTATAAGGACCACTTGAGGGAACACTTAAGTAGTATGCAGAAATATCCGATATACATCTAAATTAGGTGTCTATTCTCCTTTCACCTCCTACAAAACGATTAGTGCAAGTGATAATCCTCTGACGCAAGTATAACGAAAGACAAACAAACGTAATGGAGCAAAACTCTTTTTCTAAAAAAAAAAAATTCGGATGAAAGAATTATTAATATTTTCTAGCAGGAAAATTGAATTTATGTTATGTATAATAGATTTTTGCTCAATCAATGAATGCAGAAAAAAAACTTAGAATCTGCGTAGCTAGCAATAAATGTTTTAATGTCGCAACAAATCTACCTGAAGTAATTGAGACTGGTTGATAAACATAGAGAACGAAAGTGATCGCAAATAAGATCTTTGAGGAACACCAAAAGTAACAAGCAGTAATCTTTTGTTACCTATCATTACTGTATACTGATTAAATGTATTCATATGTATATTAGGACAATAATTACTTTATCATGAAAACACAAAAATCATCGTTCAGATAACAAAGAAATGAGTACATGATGTAAAGATTGACTTAATTGAGTAATTTGGAATATTTACTTCAATGTAATCGATAATGAGTTATATTTCTAAAATTAAGCACATAAGAGGCACTCCTACCTGGCGCATGCGCCATTTTTACTAATCTTTCCTTGACGCATATTTAAAGTGGCTGCTTTTCACTATTTTTATAAACATGAGCAAAACTTACTCAATTCAGAAGTACCTCTTAGAAAAGGATATAGACATTATAATCCAAATATAGGGCGAGCCAAAGTTGCAGAATTAAATTCGTATTTAATCAAGCCAAGGAATAATCAAGCCAAGGAAAGGAGAAGAGAGAACAATAAAAAAACGTAAATAAATATAAATGGTGTTCCATTTAAAACTGCGCAGTCCTATATCTTGAAGAAAGAGACATGGTTCTGTAAATGGCTTAAATTCTAAGTGTAAATGACAATAGTCATAGAGATCTAGATGGAACAGTGATTCAAAGAAATTTTTCTATGACACGAACATTGGAAAAAATCATTAAAATCTGAACAACTTCTGAAAACTAGTTTTAGAGATATTCGAAATTAGGTTAAGTCTTAAGATCTTTGCAACTTTTTCTGGTCAATATGGAAATAAAATATGGCATACGTACCTACCTTCGATTATTTCAATTTTGAACATGTTTGTTATTATATTTTCAAAAATTAAAACAGTTTTATTAATAGATCAAGTAGTATTTTAATCAACGCAAATGTTAAAAAACTAAATGTTAATGTTAATGTTAAAAACTAATTTTGAAAAGGTTGTAATAGTTCTTTAAAAAACTACTTTCAGGATAATATATAGTGATTCTTCAAAAAAAAAAAAAAATATCACAAATCTTGCTCGGAATTTAATAATTATGCAAGACAACCTAAAGACCTTTAAACGGAACATTCTGGATAATATTTCGAATATAATACTGATTTATGTTAAGTATACAGGGTATACATAAAGTGCTTGACCAAACTTATACAACAGATGTATTTTCGATAGTATTCAACATTAAGAGCAATTTTTTGTCTTGCATTTTAGAAAATCTAAGTAAGTTAAAAACAATATCTCTTCACTGTATCAGTTATACAAGTTTTTTCGGGCTATAAGACATCATTCTGACAATATATTAAAAAAGAAATCATATTTTTTACCTCATATGTTTTCTTACGTTTCCTGAATTTTGCACGCCTGTTGAACATATACGGAAAATCGCGTACGGTACTATAAACAGAATCACACCCCGAAGGATGTTTATAGGAAACTATTAACACATGCATTAATAACAATTATTGAGTATCTTTCCAAATTTGCTGGACAAAACAGGAAAGATACATTTTCTGATGTTTACATGTTCTCCGTTGATCTTTCAATGCGAAAAATTAAAGAAAATTGTTCTAGTTTCGTCACCTCCTGGATGAATCTACTTGTGCTATCATTGTCTTACTAAAAGTGCGCCTATAAAACGTCAGTCTTAATGAAAAAATTTGCTTATTTCAAGTAACAAGAAGCAATTGAGGGCATCATGTAATTAAGATTTTACTTCATTCTTGGCGGTTTCAAAACTATTTGGACATCATGCCACTTTTAGCAATAATTTCCTATATTCATCTCGAAAACAGAACACGCTAGCAACATGCAAGAAGGACATAATTTGTTTAGCTTTTATTACTTTATAATAACATTTCAGTTTGAAATATGTGGGAAAATATGCAAAACATTGTAAAATGGTAGTTTGTGGACGATTAAGAACTATAAACTGCACATCTACCAAATTTTAAACTATATTTTAAAGAACCTTGTACTTCCTTAAGTTTAGTTAGGAATCTTTGACCTGCCCTTGTTGTTCTCGGACTAAGCTCTTTCAGGCGACCCGCTATCAAGACCCCTAGTCTCGCCCTAATGTTCATTTCGGTTCTTGTTGGTTTTTTTTACTAAGGCCACTACGGACGGAACCTTCTCAGATAATGGTTGTGGCAGTTCCGTAGTAACCTCTGTATTTGGTCGAACTCAATTCTTTAAAAAAATTCGCCGCAACTGAGACACCTCTTATGTTGAAAATGACGTATTTCCGGCACTATTTTCGTTAATTTGTGGCATCAGACAACAGCAAAATACAGGGTGTTAGCCACCTTTTGAGAACTGCTGATTTTCATAGATATTCGATGTATCCACCATTTGCTTGCACACAAGCTTCAGCACGACGTATCCAATTAGTTCGCACGCGTTGCAACATTGCCAAGTCCTCTCGAATCGGCTTATTAAGCTTCGGAAATACGATGTCGCAGTTGCTCGATGTTACGAACTTCCGTGGAATACACGTCACTTTTCACATATCCCCACAAAAAGAAGTTTAAAGGGGATAAGGTCCGGGGACCGGGGAAGCCATCTAACTAAAATAATGTTTAGAAAGCCGCGCACTCTCCGAAAAAACACATATTTTGCCGAACATTTAATGGCAGCTCTCCCAATAACTCCGGCAAGCGATTTTGCAAAAAATCTAGATATGAAGCACCGTTTAAGCGTCTAGGCAATTAAAAAGGTCCTATTAAAGTGTCATTAACGATACCGGACCATATGTTTACTGAAAACTGTTGCTGAAAGGCACCGCGACGTATTTCGTGAGGATTTTCGACAGTGGTGAGTGTTGTAGACGATACGTACTCCATTTCGATTGAAATGGAGTACGATTTCTTCATCGATTTCTTCATCTGTAAGAAATATTTGCGCTGCAAATTGAAGATTTCTTGCATGTTCCTGAAACAATAATTCGCAAAAACCTCGACGTAGTGGAAAATCCTCAGAAGTAAGCGCTTGATCACGTTGTATATGAAATGGGTATAACTGAGCTTCTCGTAATGTCCACCACACAACTGGATGCGAAATATTTACTTGCTGTACGATATTTCTGGTGCTACGATGCGCATCTTCTTCGACGAAATCTAAAATCATATTCTCGACATTTAAGATTCTTAGTGACCGACCTCGACGCGGTTGTACTTCACCGGTGTCCAAAACTCTTTGCGCTTTAGCAACAAATGTCCGCCGTGAGAGGGCACATCGTTCAGGATATCTTACAAGGTACACTTGACAAGCTCTCTGGGCATTTTGGTTTGCTTAAATGCCATAAATTATAAATATATCATAATATTCGCGATTGCTAAGTAAATGCGCTACTTTCAAAAAAAAAACTTGGAAATACGGCTATTATGTACTCTTGAAAAACAGCACAGCAATCACTACAACAGTGTATTACAAACTGACTTTCGAATACAGTCCGGATTCAGAAGAAACCTACAAACTCGTAAAAAGTGTTACAGAATTTTAGTATATAGAATAGTACTCGCCGTGATAAAATACATGTATTTCAGCAGTTCCAAAACAGTTTTAAACATATTTTTAATTAGCTTTAACTTCCGATACAAGTTTGTGACATCAGTTAACTTAGTTTTTGCTCCTTTTTCACCCCTTTAAATTTTTGACATAAGTTCATTAACACCCTGTGTACCCTGTGTACACCCTGTGTACTTTCCTGAGAAAATCTAGATCGTCGATTGTTTACACTTCTCCACGTTGTTTGTATTTCTTATTGTTGTCGCCTCAATCACGTCGTAGATAATCTTGAAGACCAATTATTATCGTTGTCAAGTTGGAAACGAAAATCAAAGCATTGCTAACAATCGAACGTAAGTAGAGATAGTTATCGGTTGATTATAAAAGGGACTGTAGAGGACGTCACAGACTCATTTGTGCAGCGAGCAGAGGGGGGTGAAGTGATTTAACCGATGAATTTTTCCTTTATGAAGCATTCAGCTCAACCATAAATGTGTAACAAAAAAACGGAAAAGAACTGTGGATCGATTAACGTAAGTCCCATTCTGAAGTTGATGCACAAAACTAGCTCAACGCACTTCTTTGTCAACGCACTTTTTGCTTTACTTTAACGTAAAGTTCGCTTTGTCGTGAAAGTTGTTAGATATAATTGTTGATTCGACAAAAAACAGAAAGCGATTGGAGATAATGTTTTAGTAATACTTTTGGCAGTGTTTACTACGACTTAATATCAAATACATCTAAAATATTTCGCTCTTATCTGAAAATTATACAAGAATGGGAAAAATATATATTTAAACTTTATACAATTTGAGTCATATTACCAACCAGTTGTATTAAGGTATGATAATTTTATTAAATGTAATCTGTTTCTATTTTAACAGGATACCCATAAATGTAATAAATAAATACTAATAACTTAATTTCATAGACTCTACGAAAATCTCTGTACATTGTAGCTTTTGCTGCAACATACAAATTTTTAAACAGTTTTTATAAATAGTTAATTACATTAATGAAAGCTAGAAAAGCAGCACACAAGCAGTAATCAAATACAGTCAACGAACGGTACTAAGCTAATTAAAAAAAAATAAAAAATAAATTATCAAACGTCTACTTTTTCTTCGAATTCAGCGAAGTTTAATTAGAAATTATTATTTTTTAAATAATGTAAGGCTCAGAAAAGTAACTTTTTTAAATATTTTCACATAGCATCTTTCATGGTGACAGTTTCATTGTATCGATACTAATGACTGTCACTTTCGCGTGCTATCATTTAAATTCTTACATTTCTTTATTTTCTTGAACCATAAACCACCATGCTTTTACCAATCGTGAATATGCCCAAATGTATTTTATTTATGTTTTCTGTAACAGAAATAGTCTTGCGGCTCAAAAAGAGTATCGGCAACGTTGATAGAAGGCAACCTTCTGTAAGATTTTTTGGGAAAATTTATGCAAGAACGATGAAATCAGGAGCCCTAACTCCAAGATATCGTGAATTTGGCCATCCAAGGAGACGTAGGCATTATTTAGACGAATTTTAGAATTTTTTTTTAAATGAAATCTTACTGCGGGTGTAAGAAGAGCGTCTGCTCATGATGGTTCATAGTTGGAAAAAAATCGAATGAAATGCAAAGTCAAACACAAAGATCACAAATCACAACTAAGAAACTAAAGAAACGTAAGAATTTAAATATTAGCACGCAAAAGTGACAATTATTAGTATCATTACACTGAAACTGTCACCATGAAAGGTGCTTACTTGTGAAAATGTTATAAAAACACTACTGTTTATTATACATTATAATTATACATTATTTAAAAAATAATTATTTTTGACTAAACTACGCAGAATTCGAGAAAAAAGTAGAGAAATTTTTTCTTTAAAAAAGTCTAATTCATTAAAAAATTATTTGCTTAATAATTCAAAGGAATAAAAAAAAAATCGAAAAATTTCAAAGGTAGTTAGAAAACTATCCTTATTTATAACCGATTTTGATGAAACTTATGACAGTTAAAGACCCTTATGGTATGATTATTACCTACAGTTTTCATTCCATTATCCCAATCAGAAAGAAAGTTATTTTAAAAAATATTTAAATGATAAGACCCCTTTGGAAGGCCATATCTCAGTAATGGTGCTCCGAAGGACCAATGTATATAGACACTTTTTTGGCTATTTTTGGCTCTACTTTCACCTTCTAAAATTTTGTACAGACTTTTCCAAACACCCTGTATATATAAATTAAAATTAAGGACAAGGATGACATTTTCAAAAAACGACATTGTTAAAAGCTGACTTACATGACTATATGGATCATAACTGTTTCTCTATTTAAAAAAAATCTTTTTTTATGTTCTAGGTATGCAAATGATATTCAACCTCACACACAAGTTAGCAATCTTGTCTATGTGGGTGAATATATTTTGCATACCTTCATGCCTAGTGTCGAAGAACATTGTTTGACTTCATTTGAATTTATTTGAATTAGCTTAATACCTTAAAAAAAATTGCAAAAACATATGGGGGTTAATACACAGGTCAACATTTAATCTAGGGACAATCGTCAGAAGTGACTAAGGTACATAGGGTTTTTTTGGATCGCTGATCAGGAATCCTAGGTCGGTTAAGCTCCATCACATCAGGTTCAAGGTGATTTGAAGGTCATGAATATATGAATAATTCATGAATGACCTTGAAATGACGTCAGGGTATATCGTAGGGGTAAATAAACCTCGGATTCGGGTTCAGTGGCCTCTAAAACATAAGCATGAATTTTTTCAGATTTTTTGGAGATCATTTCTTGATTTGACCTTCAAATCACCTTGAACCTGATGTGATGGAACTTAACCGACTTCGGATTCGTGATTAGCGACCCAAAAAAAACCTATTTCCCATAGACACTTCCGACGATTGTCCCTAGATCAAATGTTGACCTGTGAATAGAAACACTGTTGAAGAATGGACATGTCTTTACATATCACATATCACTAGCAATTATAAAATTAACATGTGTCAATAAATAACACATTTTAAATAATTCCAAGGCATTTCTGTTCAAAGAATATTAATTTTTATAAATATCAAACATCCTGTGCCTTAGAAATAAAATAAATTCAAATATATTTAGGAAAATTGCTAAAAATCAATATGAAAAAATAATATTTTAAAAAATATCAAAAAATAATATTTAGTTTTTTCAAAGTGTGTCACAATTTGTACTTAGAAACTGGAGATTATTTAACAATTTTGATAAAATTAAAGGCGACAAAGTTATCAGTTTTAAAAATTTATTTCTGTAAAATTAGATCAAGCCAAATATTATTTTTTTTAGAGACTCCAAATTCCTCAAATTTGTGCAGGATTATTTGCCTCCAATACTTTTCGTTCTTTGGGTAAAACAGATAATGACATTTATCGTCTAGATTAAGTAGAGTTTATTATGTTTAAATAATGTTAACGATAATTTTGTGACAGATTAACGAGGAACCAGATAAAACCATGAAAACTCAATATTACACCGTTATCGTACAGAAAAATGAACGATAAGCTTTCGTGATTGTAATTTATGCGGACTTTATAATTACTATCTGATACGGCTTACAATTTGCAGAGCTTTCACGTTATTCCCACTTTATCCGAGTGCTTTATAGACTCTTTAGTGATAACCACATCCCAAAATTTACCTGCATCATACTTAAAAGATTTTTCATTAGAGGTATATTATTTAAAACAATACGATGTTTTTGTTTTCAGATTGAAATCATTTTAAAAATATATGAACCACCACAAAAAGATGGACCGTCAGAATTGCACATACGACAAGCTGGATTCTATGGATACGGACCCTGAGGTCTACAAAAGAGGGGACGACTTGAAACTGTTGATCGAACCCCAGAAACCGCTCTTTGATAAAATCCCCTACGCCTACTCCACCGATAAACCAATTAAAAAAGCAAGAAAGAAGAAACGGGTGCTGAACACACTAGATACCCTCATATCCATCTTCGTCGTAACACCTTGTGTGGTAGGATGTTGGAGAGGCATTTCGCAGATCATGGACATGTATGAGGAATATTTTCCCGCTTGGGAAAGTTTCTCCCTTGGCATGGCAACCCACATAGTGCTCGCCCTTGGCCAGGACGTCTTCCACTACGTGGTTGTCGAGAAGAAATCGAAGCACCCCGTTTTGAGACTCTTCGCCTGGTTTCTAATGAAGTTCTACATCACCACATTTAACGTCATTAGTAATATGATATGGAGGGCTGGTTGGATCCTCTTCGATCGTTACTGTGGACTACAAAATTCGAAATTCGGATCTGCCATGTCGGAGGGGTCTTCTTCAGCTATTTGGTTCACGATAGTCTGCACGCTGATCCTATTTTGCTTGAAAGGTTTGAAGAATACCATGTCGCCTCCATTCTCCATCGCGCTTGATTCGAAAGATGAGGTGTTTCTTTTCAGCACCAGATACATTTACAAAGTAAGTATCGTTGTTTACGACTACTTGGGTCAATAGTAGGTAATGTCAAAAATAGATACAGATTTTAGAAAAATATTCTTTATACAGGGTGTCCCACCTCAGAGGGATTCTTCTGTAACTTGTAAAATTTATGAAAAAATGGTTTTAATAAAGGTTGTCAAGAATCATGTGGGCCATGTAAAGAAAATATTTTTAGCTTTACAGGGTGTTCCATTTCACGTGAGAGCTACATAATTTTGTTATTCAAACACGGAAATACTGAGACCTACACTTAGCAACCTTACGAGTTAAAAAACTTTTTTTTCAAATGGAATGACCCATATTAATTGTCAAGTGTGAATGAAAAATGAATGCCCATTCAACTGATACAAGGTTGTCCATACTTATCTCTAACAGTTTTCCAAAAAAATCAGGTTCCTTTCTAAAGTCCGAAAAAGTAGCTATGTAACAGCGTCAAGAAGGCATTACAATTGTATTAGCACAACTTCGATACATAGGATTTTACAAAAGTACAGCACAGCACATCCTTGTCATATCCAATTACACCAAGAGTTACTAAAAGTAGACTTTCAGCGGAGACTAGAGTTTTGTCAGTGGGCACTTGAGATGTTAAATTAAGATGCTGATTTTTTTAAACGGGTCATATTCTCCGATGAGACTACTTTTCATAAAAATGGTTTCGTTAATAGTGCCATTATTATGTCACAGTAAATCCTTACCAACTCCGGACAACTCATGGCTAACGACGGTCTTTCAACGGGTGGGGAGCAATTTTGGGAACCCATGTCATTGGACCATTCTTTTTTGACCAGCATCTAACTGGAGCAGTTTATTTAAACTTTTTAACAAACACTCTAGAATATTTGATAGTCAACATTCCTTCAGCTACACTTCGACGAATGTGGATGCAACATGATGGTGCTCCACCTCACAATACCGCTGCGGTTCGTCAATTTTTACACGAAACTGTTCCCAACAGATGGATTGGGCACGGGAGACCAGTGAGTTGGCCAGATGTGACAAGTTGCGATTTCTTTTTATGGGGATTTATAAAAAGCAAAGTTTACGTTACACCACCAACTACCTAAGATATTTGACAGCGCATTTCAGTAGCAAAAATAGGCAAAAATTTTATTTAAGTAGTGACATACATGGTGTAAATACAAGGCATAAAAATAATATTCGGGTACCGTTTTCTAAATTGTCAATTACCAATAAGTCACCAAATTATTTGGGGCCTAAAATTTTTAATAAATTACCTATTGAATTAAGACAAGATAAAATATCTTTTTATCAATTTAAAGTAAAGTTAAAATTATATTTAGTGACCAAATGTTTTTATTCCTTGGGTGAGTTTTTTGCTTCCTAGGTTAAGTTACATTTGTTTTTACTTTAAATATCTGCTATACGCATAAGTGACTATTGTTATACAATTTGTAATTGTCTCTAAACAAAATAAAACATCTAATCTAATTTAATTTCAAGATATTACGCTATACATGCTGACCGATCTTGAACAGTCTTTTAAAAACCGAATTCGTTTGTGTATTAATCAAAATGGAGGACACTTCGAGCAATTAATGTAAATCAGCGGTCTAAGTATTCTTCTCCTTATTGTGCTCCGAGTTTCAGTTTGTTTCTTTTTGCGTTTTGTTTTAGTTGTTAGTGGTTTACTTTTGTTTGTCAAACCACTTTTTAAACATGCCAGTAAATATTGACACTGTCAGTCCCAGGCCTGATAAAATGTGAGAGTGGCTTTGCAAGGCCTTCTTGACGCTGTTACATAGCTACTTTTTCGGATTTTAAAAAGGAACCTGATTTTTCTGGAAAACTATTAGAGATAAGTATGGATAACCTGATATCAGTCGAAAGGGCATTCAATTTTGTATTCACCCATGACAATTAATATGGGTCATTCCATTTGAAAAAAAAAAATTTCTACTCGTAAGATTGTTAAATGTCGGTCTCAGTATTTCCGAGTTTAAATAACGTACACGTTTTGCTCACACATTGCAAGAGAGAGTAATTTATACCAAAACAAACTGTGAAAACTGAAGGTTTCTAACTCTTACAGGTTAGACGCTATCTAGCCTCTTTGGAGACATGAAATTGTGATTTTTTTCAAACACATCTTATTATCTTGAAAACGATAAGTTTTAAAAACCATGTACATTTAATAAACTCTAAAATATTAACCAAGGCATTCAAAAATGCAATAATATATAGGGTGTTCCATTTAAAATAACAAAGTTATGTAGCGCCCACGCAAAATGGAACACCCTGTAAGCCTACAAATATTTTCTTTACATGACCCACATGATTCCAGGCAACTTTTATTAAAACCATTTTTTATAAATTTTATAGTTGCAGAGTTACAGAAGAATCCCTCTTAGGTGAAACACCCTGTATATGTAAAATATTTTCATAAATTTTGACTGGGAGCCGCACCGACTTCAAAAAAAATCATCAAATTTTTCGAATGCTTATTTTATATTTCAATACTGTGAAATAATAGCTTCATAATATACAGTATGTTTGATTATCAAGACCCCGAGCTATAACTTGGAGTATATTCTCTTTCCGACCATATGAAGTTTGTATGCCTTTGACATTTTGAGAAAAATGAGAAAATCTTCAACCTTTGACTTTAGTTTACGGCGCTCGCTTTCTAAATCATATCAAATATAAGGTGCTAGAAAAACAATACAGTGTTTCTCACTTTAGTATTAACAAATATTCTGTTTGAGAGTAAGGGGGGCAAGATGTTAACTTCTTTTTTATGTACTTAATTAATTTTTTTGAATTTTGAAAATCATTATTTGGGCAGGTATTAGTTGTCTGAAATGTTCTAATGTTAAATTTATTACCTAATTTTCTCAATGTTTCCAATAGTACAGAAATATATGATATTTTTATTGTTGATGTAATTTCCCTTTGTTGTCTGACAATTGGTCTTATTTTCAGTATTCCTAAAAACTATTTCGACAAAATTCTCGGTGTTGGTTGTTTATTAGTACATTTTTATGAATTTCAATGCATCATTAAAAATTTCATGTTTTCAAGAAATATGATGATTCGAATAAAACTTAGATATCTGTAGCGTGAATTGGTTTTCTATAAATACTTGTTTTTAAAAAAATGCAATTTTTTAAATTAAAATATAATGCAATTATCCATAAGACTTTAAAACATGTTCCTGCAATCTACACTGAGAAAAATATTATTTTAAAAAACCTGAATCCATTTTCAGCTGCAATTCTCTAATTATTACATACCTATGTCCTTACGTGAGTGCAATTGGACCATATAAATACAATTAAAAAAAATCGTGCGGTTTAATTCGAATATCTCTCACTTGGTTAACCCGGCAGCAATTGTTCAAACTCACTCACACTCGTTAATTGTTTTACGCAAAGATGATCCTCCGACGGTCGCACTTTCGAAATTGTTCAAGAAGACAGTCGTCGACTAGGACGGTAGCATGTGTATTTGTTTAATTTCGCAAGTTCTGGAAAATGAACGCGACAAGAGCCGTGGCTGACTTCAATCTGTATCGGGACGCAGAAAAACCAAAAAATCGATGTTTGAAGTGCGCCTGCTTAATTAGTGTATTGGTTATTTTAATTATGGTAAGTATGTTAAGTTTTCTAAAATATCTGAAAAAAAAAATGAATTACTTAAATGACCAAAACGTCAAACAATCATACATAACAAATTTTCATTTAATATCTGTCAATCGCAAAATGTCAAATACAGTTACATTATCATACAAATAATAATATCTGAGGATTATGTGGGATTTGCAAAATTTTATAATTTAGATTAAAATAAAGCTTGCTGGATTATCTGCCACTTTCCGACAAATTAACTCTAAACACCATAATTTACTTATTGATACAGTTTTGTTAATATTAAATTGATAAGAGTATCAAAAAAATTGTTATCAGGATTACGCTTTAGCATACAGGGGGTTCCGCTTTAAGTGGATGTTTTCATAATTCTGGTAGTATTGATAATACAAGAAACTGTTTCACACAAAAGTAATATCAAATCGATAAAATCGAAAGTATTAAATTATGGACCGTAGTTCGTTTTGTTTTCGAGATAGGGTGTCGAAATTATAAAAAAAAAATCTTAAAAATTCCATTGGTAATAAAAAGCACTAAAGGAGTTTGCAGAATACTCATTGGCCTTGAAATTCTGAGGTTCTTAGTGGTAAAGTTTCCTCGGTCTATGCTAAACATTCTCAGATATATTTTAGAAATTGTGATATTTTTTCTAATTTCAATATCCTGTGCATATTAAATTTTTTGCTCAAAATATTTTATTCGACCACCTGTGTTAAACCCTGGACCATCTTGTATTTTACATAGCCACTATTAATTAAATAAAGGACATGATGGCTTTTATCATGTTCCAACGAATGTTTAAATCCACATCTTGTTTAGTTTTTGTGATATTTTACATTTTGAGGACTGCTGTAGATGTAGAAAGACACGAAATAACAATAAACAATAAAATAGCAAAAATAATTATTTAAAACAAAACTGACACAATTAGTAACGCATGCCTATCCAATCAATGTTTAGTAAATCAAGGAAAAAGAAAACATGTTTTCAATGTTCATCACTTCATCTACATTGACAACAAAAAAAGTGTAGAGAATTTAAAATAACATGTCGTAAAGTCATACAAAAGCAGTTTGTTTTTACAAAATTATTTTCATTGCATTGTCATTCCTTGCAACTCTGTTTTATATAGTTGGTTTAAAAACAATAGGCAACACCGATAAGTGCGCATATACAACCAAGTTAGGGAGCTGCCCAGTGGCATTGTAGACAAGAGTTTAAATGCAGTTTAAAAACAAATCAACTCGACTATTTATTAAAAAAATAATTTCTCATTGGTATTTTGGGACTTTATTTGGACTTTGAAAAAGTGACCCCTACTTAAAGTTACACCCTGTATAGTCACAAAGAACAGCTTTTTATATTATTGATATTACCAGAACTTCAGAAAAATATCTTAACTGGAACACCCTGTGGAACACACATTCGTAACAGAAAATATAAAATAATGATTTCTGCCATTTGATTTGAAAAATTACGTGGCAAATAGTTTAAGAATTTTATCATAAATTATAATTCTGTTTCTAAACCTAACAAAAATCATAATCTTGACTCATGAAACACATTTTTAAAAACGACATTGTTTCAGACATTTTATCTAACTCTATTTTTAGGGAGCTTTCTGTGCCTATGCTATACTTTTAAACCGAACACCAGGTCCCATAAAGAACAAATCAATGACTGCGGAAAAACTGGTCTCCTCGCAATCAATGCTCATTGAAAATTACCAAAAGCAACCACCGAGGCCTTTCGGAACCAAAACCCTAGGCCCCCTTCCACACGAATTTACTCCCACCACGCCAATACCAGCGCGAACATCTGTGAAAGCGTCCTCTATAACTTACCCCCAACTGACCAACTACAGAAACAATTACCAGCCGAAGAATATACAGGAAATTATAGGTTATATGAACAATCAAGCGTCCCAAGACGTAGACATTCAGGATTTCTCCAAAGAACGCCAAGCAACGAACCAAGAAGGGTTCAAACAAACCCTGAATTCTTCAGGCTTCACCAACGCTGATCCTTTTTACACTTATAAGCCTACCGACCCCAGCGACATTAATCTGTTAGCCACTGCTAGCTTCAGGTTTGCCCCTCCAGTGTGGAAAAACTTCAGGAAGTTGTACCAGCAACCCATGCAGCAGCCGAATACTCAGCAAGTGGAAACTTCTAACATACAAGAAACTGTCAAAAACTTCGCCAAACCTTTTGTTGTCAATCTCAACATCTTCCCAATGGAGGATCAGTATCCATCAGCCTTAAATCGGTACGGACAAAGGGTTTCCCCCTCGCAGAGAGCACAAGATAGTGTTCCTTATAAATCTCTTGGAGATCCTAGGGGGAGGTTTCTGGGACAGAGAGGAAATAAACTGACGATCAGATTGAATGTATTTCCGGAAACTGTGACTCCGTTTTTGCGCCAAGAAGACAAAATAGCTGAGAGTAGTGCTAACAAGATCAAATTTGTGTAAATAGACTTTTGATAGGGACGTTAAGGTGCTCGGGAAAACATTATCATGAAAATTATAAATGTTGTAAAACAGAAAGATAAAGCTAATGATTGTATGAACTATAGACATTTACACTGACAATAATTGTGAAAGATTATAGAATTTGTAATATTTTCAAATAATATTGTATAAAGTTTCAAACAACTTTTAGTTGTTTCTATTTGTAATTTGTAGTAATGGGTGTGTCTTACACATTTATTTTATTTACTTGGATAGTACTAGAATCTTTAGATGCTCGGAAAGTAATTAAAACATTTTCAAAGTTTACAATTTCACGCACGGCTTATGACGTCACTCACCTGTAACAATTAATGAAATCACAGACGCCTAGAACTTCTCTGAGCGACAGAGAAACAAAGAGACAGCTTCTCTCTCGCGTAGGCACGGCAAAAGACAAAAATTCTAAGCAATTATGAATTTTAATTACATATGGTACAATCACATGTACGTGGGTGACAGAAATTCAGCTTTAGATATCTCCATTGTGTGATTTTTTTATAACAATGTTTTCTCCGTGTGATTCTTCTTACAACTTTCTTCTTTTTGATTTCTTGTCGAAAATTTTAATTGCTTTTGTTCAGTTTACTCTTAGTTAACTGATATTTAAACGTTAATTAAACATTTTAATGAATAATTTTACACATCAAATAATTTTACAAAATAAAAACAATAATAAGGAAGTTACATTTTTTATACTGAGATGACTAAAATCCTGTACAGGTAGAATTAAATGTGTATATAATTAATAAATTTTTAAGAAACATATTTTTATATTTATACGCACATAGTTAATAGTGTAAAACCAGACATTTGTAGATAACTTAACCGTGAAAATAATTGTTTTATGGAAACCCGCAACAAACAAAATCATTATCAAATTGTCCACTTATTGTTAAACTAGTTCCTCGTAGTGAATCAGTTTGACAACTTAACTAAAATTGTAATACAAACATATAAAAAAGCCTAAAAGAAGGGAGAAACAAATGAATATCATTTTTAGGATATTTAATATAATGTTTAAAACTTGAATAATCTGCCTTATCAATAGAGGAAAAAAATGAAACAAAATAATTTATACTCGGATAAATAAATCCTCCATCCTCCACATTTACATTATAAATGCGTATTATAAGAAAAAAAAATAGCATTTTGAAATTAAACAGATAATTAGGTATCTATAAGCATTTATCGAAATATTTTTTTTATACTTTAAATAATTTTTAAACATTCTCCTTGTTTGATTTTTTTTCTATAATTTTTTGTATTTTAATGATTTATTTTTCAAAAATTTATTTCCCGCATGTTAAATTTTTCTTCATTATAATATCAACTATCAACTTAGGCCCGGTACTTTGAGTTTAGGGTAAGGCTTGATTAACTAATCAGGCGATTAGACTGTAAATATACGTTTATAAAATAAATCATGACATACAGGGTGTTCTACAGACTCTATGACAAACTTTGACAGATAGTAGCTGGGTTAATTTCAAACATTTTTTCTTATATGAATATAGGTCCGAATTATTATTGACATGAACAGATATGATATAAAATATTAATAAATTAGCCTTATACACCGTGCCATTTCAATAATAATTGCGATAGACGTTGGTCGGTGGTAAAAGCGCTCGGCAATCGTTTATTGTCATGCATTCACAATCACCTCAAGTAATTGTTAAAAATAAGTTTAATTGCACAAGTAATTAAAAAAAGCAGAAGATAAAATATGACTAAACATAAGTAAGTATGTATAATTATAAATATAAAATATTACTATCTTTACCTAACTTTCTTTTTTATCTAGGAAAAAAATGATAAAGACCAAAGTATCAAGAATTTTTTTGCTATTTCAAAGAAATATATTAAAAAAAAAACAATTCGCTATTGCACTTCAAAGATATAAACCATACTTGTTTTCTTACATGGAACACCCTATGTATTTGTTGTTTTTTCTTCGGTTTTCTAACTAAAATTAAATATTATACATGTTATATTTCTGCTTTGATAGTTTGCACAATATATTCATTTATTTACTGATTCTGCACATAGTTAAGATTGTCATGGAAATACTGAATCGGTATGTTTTCCACTGTTAAATTTATTAAATAAATCTTTAAATTCTCTATTAAGAAAAAATATCTTAATATACAGGGTGTCTCACGACGACGGCCCATTAGAATTATTTCAGGGACTACTTCGATTTGAATTTTGAAAATTTGGGATACCGGGATTTTGGGCATGCCCTTCTCAACTAAAATAATGGCGTCCACGTACCACTTCTGGTTATACCGGAAGTCTCCACCAACTTGCTTATTTTAAATGGAACACCCTATATATTATTGCAATTTTTGATATTACGTGTTATTTTAGGTGGACTTTTATGAAGTTTCCCTATTCCTAAAATTAACCGTTTTCCAGATATTTAATTTTTTTTTTAAATAGAGAGAAACAGTAACTAGCTTCAAACCATGTGTATTTTATAGTACGAAAGATAAAGCAACAATATTTATAGGGGGGATAGCCCTAAGCTTCCCATCCATACTTTCAAAGTGGCTTAATTGCATGCAGGGTACTAGAAATTTAATGCCGAGTTCAAACCTTCATAAGTCGGTTTTTTAATGGAACACCGTGTATGTTTTTCTATATTCTGATACACAATTTTATTCTCTTTCGAACGGTATCAGGGTTCCCTATACCTATCTCTTCCAGTTTTTAAGTTATCTTCTATTTTTTGTGTAATCACCTAAAATCATGTAATTTCTTGCGAGGATAGCTGTGGAATTTTTAGCAAAACTTCAAAACAAACAACTAAACTGTCAATTTGTTGTTAGTCTCTTGCAGTGACAATTTAATTTAGTGTTTATAAGAAATGGAAAACAATACATATTCAAATGCTGATAATTTAAATTTATTATTCATCCACGGAGGTTGCAATGAGATTATAGGCTGAACATATACAGTTTTTAATGAGACATATCCAAATTTGCCACCAATGAGTAGAAAAAGTTAAGAATAATTTTAGCAAATCAACTAGTGTGTGGTCGAATTTGTGCGAAAGAATTTTACCAAAACCAATAACTTCAAATGAAGATAATGTAATAAATGTGCTAGCCTATTTGAATGTTCATCTAGAATCATCAACTCGTGCCGCAGAGTATGATTTAAGCATTTCACGAGCGTCCATTCACAGGATGCTAAGAACTAATGATATGCATCCATACAAATGTAAGCTACTTTCTGCTCTTCATCCGGGTGACGTCGGGCAACGTGTACAATTTTGTGAAACGATGTTAGTGCGATACAAAGAAGATTTTTGCAACATATATGGACAGACGAGTAAAAATTTACGAGAGAAGGTATTTTTAATAGACATAATACTCATTTGTGGTCATCTGAAAATCCTCATGTTATCCGGGAAAGAAACTTTCAAAATAAATTTAGCGTAAATGTTTTTTGTCTAATTAAAGATAACCAAATTTCTTACCATATCTACGAAGAAAATTTAAATGCCGATATATATCTCAATATTTTGCAAACGGTTGTGGCAGATTTTCTAGATAATATATACCTTTAGACCAACTAACGAAGTGTTGGTATCAATTAGACGGGGCTCCACCTCACTGTCACAATCAAATCGATCAACAGCTGACTGAAATGTTTGAAGATAGATGGATGAGACGCCTAGGACCGTGGAATTGGCCAGTGAGGTCTCCCGACCTCACTCTATTAGATTTTTATGTTTGGGGAGTAATAAAGCAAATAGTTTATTCTACACCCGTTGCTTCAAAAGAGGATTTGATTGCTCGAATACGAAGAGCGTTCCATGAATTGCCTGCAGCTGAAATAGCAAAAGCGGTAACTGATGGCGTTATCTCTAGAATCCACAAGTGCTTAGCTGTTAATGGGGGTCATATTGAACACATGACTTTTTTAAGTAATTTTTTTTATCTTAGTTCATTATTATTATCAACATACATAATTAAAATTGTGTATTACCATGTATGAAGTTGATTTTTTAGAATTCTTCTTAACTTTATTCTGCTCATTGGTGGAAAATTGGGATATGTATAATTAAAAACTGTAAATGTTCTGCTTAGAATCCCATTGCAACGTCTGTGAATAAATAATAATAAATAACTGGTGACAGTTTAGTTGTTTGTTTTGAAGTTTTGCTAAAAATTACACAGCTATTCTCGCAAGAAATTACATGATTTTAGGTGATTACACAAAAAGTAGTAAATAAATTAAGAACTAGAAGAGACAAGCATAGGGAATCATGATACCGTTCGAAAGAGAATAAAATTGTGTATCAGAATATAGAAGAACATACAGGGTGTTCCATTTAAAAAAACCGGCTTATGAAGGTTTGAAGTTAACTAAACTCGGCATTAAATTTCTAGCACCCTGTATGCAATTAAGCCACTTTGAATGTATGGATGGGAAGCTTAGGGGTCTAGCTATCCCCCCTATAAATATTGTTGCTTTATCTTTCTTACTATACACATGGTATGAAGCTAGTCACTGTTTCTCTCAATTTTTTTGAAAAAAAAATTAAATACGGTTAATTTTAGGAATAGGGAAACTTCATAAAAGTCCACCTAAAATAACACGTAAACACGTAAATCTAAAATTGCAGTGATATATAGGGTGTTCCATTTAAAATAAGCAAGTTGGTGGCAACTTCCGGCATAACCGGAAGTGGTACGTGGACGCCATTATTTTAGTTGAGAAGGGCACGCCCGAAAACCCAGTATCCCAAATTTTCAAAATTCAAATTGAAGTAGTCTCTGAAATAATTGAGAGACACCCTGTATATCATGCACCTAGAAAAAGGAGAGGATTTCAAAAAGTGTCGAATATTCTGGATGTCTCATAAAAAAAAGGTTCGGTTTATGTCTTCGAAATGCAACAGTATATTTACGTATTTTACTGAAACTACGTCTGTATAAAAATTTAGATTGCTGTATCATTGCAGCATGCCACATATCAAACTTGGTAGCAATAA